CTGGTGGATTCGAACTGCCGACCTTTTGGTTAGCAGTGGTAGCTCTTAACCAATACGCCACCAGGGTTTCTGTCATAACCACGGCTACTAGTTATTAAGTGCAGCTGTATGTCAGGCATTGCGGTACGTCAGCATTAACCACCACCTCCTGCCTCTCCTGCAAAAAACCCCATGAGGCCAGCATGATCTAACAGATGAGGAAACAGGAGAAGCTGAGTGGGCTGCCTAGGGTCACACAGCTATTGTGTAGAGGAGACAGAATTAGAACCAGACTTACCCAACATGGAAGACTTTCTGTTGGCTTGGGAGGGGTCCGTTCAGTTGTTCACCTGAAACTTGGCTCTTTCTCTCACCCCCCTTCCTCTCCAGCTGGCCCCAGAGCACACACTGATGTCCTTCCGGAAGGCCATAGAGCAGAAATTGTATGGGCTCCAGGCTGATGTCACCATCAGGTAGGTGTGGGAGAAAAAGAACAGCACCCCTCCCATCCCCACCCTTATCCCGGGTCTCTGCTGGTGGAACCTCCAAATCCCAGGGCCTCAGAGATGGGGATGGGGGCTTGGATTTTTCATGGCAGGGCAGAAACCCAAGCTTTAACAGCACAACTGTTCTTGTGCCAAACCTCAGGATATAAAATAGAGAAAAGAACAGGCACACTGGTTCCATTGGGGGTGGGGAGTGGGGACTGGAGCCTGGCCACAGATCCACTTGAAGGGAGATTGGTTCTATACAGGTTAGCATGGTGGAGCTCACTCTGCTGCATGGAAAAAGGCAAGTCCCAGAGGAATACATTCACTGTGCCGTCTATTAAAAAGAGACCACATAAAAGTGATATATCCGTTTCTACACGTAGACACATAAGTATGTGAAAGTATAAAGGGCAAGGAAGAATCGACACCAATCTTATAACCTTTGGGAAGGGGAGAAGGGCAGGGCTGGCATATATAGCTGTGCAGGTTGTGTACTGAACAAGGGTACTGTATGCGAGGACACCGTTCCCAGGCAGGACATCATATATTCATGTACTGAATACAACTTTCTAGCAGGGGGTGGTAAAATGTCTTGAGGAGGGGCACAGGGGCCTTTTACTGTTTTACACCAAGGCTCCTTATGGGTTATTGGCAGCCCTGCTGGGGTACATGAGGATGGTGGGGTGTGGGGATGGGACGTGTCAAAGGGGCCTGCATTTGCACTGCTCTCATTGTAGTGTCAGACGGGCTTAGTTCCAAGCCAGGTTTACAACTTATTGGCTGTGGGCCTTGAACTAGGTACTTCCCCTCTCCCAGCGTCAGTTTCCCCATTATCAAATGAGCTAACACCTAGCTTCCAAGGATGCCAAGAGAATGGCCCCAGTCTTTCCCAGCCCTCCCTCCTCAGCAGCCCCCACCCCCATCTGACCCCCCTAGAGAGGCAGGCAGCCCACTGTCCTCTCTGTGCAGGAGGGAGCTGAGACCTGGCCTGCGGCTGGTCAATGTGGGTGTGGAGAGGAGTAGGGGGTAATCATTTGAGCACAGGCGAGGACCAGGATGGGCGGTGACTCCGTGGCCCCCTCCCTGCAGCCTGGATGGCGTGCCCTTCCTGCTGCACGACGCCACCCTACGGCGCACCACCAACGTGGAAGAGGAGTTCCCTGGGCTCGCCCGCAGGCCCGCCTCCATGCTCAACTGGACCATCCTGCAGAGGCTCAACGCTGGCCAGTGGTTCCTGAAGGTCTGGCCGCCCCTGGTCCAAGTCCTAGGAATGGGACCACATAATGGGGACCCCACTCCAAGAGCTTGCCCACCGCATAGCCAAGCTGGTTAGCAGCCTCCTCGGGCCCCCTGCCACTGCAGCCCCCATCTCATGGTTTTTGCTGCTTGTTCTGGGTCCATCTACCTCCCCCACCAGAAAAAGTCAATGATGATGATAACAGTTAATAGTTAAATCATTAATTTTGTAAAGCTAGAGGGAGGTCTAAAAGGCTGCAGAAGCAGAAGTGTGCTGGGAAGGAGAAATCCCTTCCGTAAACAGGGGGTTAGGGAGTGAGGTTAGGGCTGGGGCCTCCTGGAGCCCCCATCCAGGGCCATCGCCATTAATTTACCTGACACGTATGCCAGCACACACTGGCAGCCCAGGGCTCTCCACGCTGGGTTTCTGGGAGGGCACATGGGGGCCCAAAGAGCTGATGACGCAGCCACATGTACCCGTGTCTCCACCAGACCGACCCCTTCTGGACAGCTGGCTCCCTGTCCCCTGCTGACCATAGGGAGGCCCAGAACCAGTCCATCTGCAGCCTGGCAGAGCTCCTGGAGCTGGCCAAGGGCAACGCGTCGCTGCTGCTCAACCTGCGTGACCCGCCACGGGAGCACCCCTACCGCGCCAGTTTCCTCAACATCACGCTGGAGGCCGTGCTGCGCTCCGGCTTCCCCCAGCACCAGGTGAGGCTTAGCCTGGCTTGAGCCTGCTCCAGCATAAACCCACCGTGTCCCCTCCGCAGACTTCAGTTCTCACATTTGTATAATGGGATAGCATGTCCCTCGCCTCCCTGACAGGGTCATCACGGGGTCCAGAAGGGAACAAGAAAGTTCTTTAAAATATACGGCTGGAGCAGGCCCAGGCTCCCCGTTTACTTCAGTGATGTGTTGCCCACATCATCGTGGTGTGATATTTTTGGATCAGAGAATCTGCCACCCATTTCTGACAGCACACTGGAGGCTGCTGGCCACATGCAAAGTAATTGATATTTAGGTTATAAAATCTTGTCTTGACAAGGGTCTAGAAGCTTCCTGAATTCTTGCCAGAACGATTCAGCCCTGCCTGGGACAAACAATCCCCTAGCAATGATGATCCCATTGAAGCTTCCTTGTGTGCCAGCTCTCCTCTCTTTTGACCCTTACAGTTGCTCTATGAGGTGTTGTTGTATGCCATGGAGTCATTTCCAACTCAGAGACCCTATAGGACAGAGTAGAACTGCCCCATAGGGTTTCCTAGGCTATAATCTTTATGGAAGCAGATCAACAGGCCTTTTCTCCTGTGGAGCCACTGGTGGGTTCGAACCACTGACCTTTTGGTTAGCAGCCAAGCACTTAACCATTGTGCCACCACTGCTAGTGCTCCTTCTATGAGGTGTAGGTACCATTATTCCCATTTCACAGAAGAGAAATCTGAGGCTGCCCCCTCTCTTGCCGGCAGGTTTTGTGGCTGCCTAACAGGCAGAGGCCCCTGGTGCGGAAGGTGGCTCCCGGCTTCCAGCAGACATCAGGCTCCAAGGAGGCAGTGGCCAGCCTGCGGCGGGGCCATATCCAGCGGCTGAACCTGCGATACACTCAGGTGTCCCACCAGGAGCTCAGGTTCCTGCCCTCCCCTCCACCCCAGGCTCTTCCAAAGGAGGGCAAGATTGAGTCTCCCCTATTCTCATCATCCCAGTGCACAGCTGGGCATGGGGCTGGCCACCTAGGGGACTCAGGCACACTGGTTCAAAGGTGAGAGGTCAAGAGCACTGATTATAGCCAAGCAGACCTGGGGCTGTATCTGAGCTCAGCCTTCCGGGGATGGAGATTCCTTCCTCGAGGCTGTGAAGGGGACATGTTTGACAGGCTTGCCCTGTGGCCCCGGAGGCAGCCAGAGTCCATGGAACCAACCAACCTCTGCCCACCCCACCCCCAGGGACTACGCATCCTGGAACCTGAGTGTGAATCTCTACACCGTCAATGCTCCGTGGCTCTTCTCCCTGCTGTGGTGCGCGGGGGTCCCGTCTGTCACCTCCGACAATGTCCATACCCTGTCCCAGGTGCTTTCCCCACTATGGATCATGGTGAGTGGAGCTTATTAGGGGCAGAGGGCACTTGGAGTAGGGGGCAGAGAGCTGCCGGTGGCCTGCTCCAACCACTTGGCAGGCTCTAAACCCGGGCCCTCTCTGGTGGGGTTCCTGGGGGGCACAGGCTACTTGAGGCCTGGGGAGGAGTTTCCTGGCCTTTGGGGCCTGCACTAAGGTGCTGGAGGTCTGGGGACCTGGGCCTGACGCACAGGGAGAAAATATCACTGAAGGGCCCTAGAGAAATAAAGAACCACTTGGGTTTTTTGTTGTTTTAGTTGTTTTTTATGTTTCGCTTTAAAGGAAGGAAGGGAATTGGAAAAAGAGGTTAACAATAGAACAAGAATAACCAGTTGCTGTCGAGTCAGTGCTGACTAATGGCGACCGCATGTGCATCAGAGTAGAACTGTGCTCGATAGCATTTTCAATGGCTGATTTTTCTAGAGTAGATCACCACGCATTTTTTTTCAAGGAGCCTCTGGGTAGACTCAAATCTCCAGCCTTTCCATTATCAGCTGAGCATATTAACCATTTGCACTAATCAGGGACTCCAAAACAAGAATCCAAAAAAACCCATTGCAGTCCAGTTGATTCTGACTAATAGTGACCCTATAGGACGGGGTAGAACTGCCCCATAGGGTTTCCAAGGCTGTAATCTTTACGGAAGCAGACTGCCACGTCTTTCTCCCTCGGAGCCTCTGGTGAGCGCCTTAACCACTGTACCACCAGGGTTCCTTAAAACAAGAATTATTGTTGTTGTTAGTGCTGTTGAGTCGATTCCACCTCATAGTAATGCAATGTACAACAAAACGGAACACTGCCCAGTCCTGTGCCATCCTCACAATCATTGCTGTGTTTGAGCCCATTGTTGCAGCCACTGTGTCAATCCATGTCATCGAGGGTCTTCCTCTTTTTCAATGACCCTCTACCTTACCAAGCATAATGTCATTCTCCAGGGACAGGTCCCTCCTGATAACATGTCCAAAGTACGTGAGATGAAGTCTCACCATGCTCACTTCCAAGGAGCACTCCGGCTGTACTTCTTCCAAGACGTTAAAGTAGATCACAGAGAATACAGTGAATAAAGCCATTTTCAAATTGTTGACCAAGCACCTGCAGACAGGCCTGATTTCCTGTCCCATCTCTGCTACTGGTGGGCTTGGGAAGCTGCCAGCCTCCCTCCAGGGCAGTGGGGTGGCAGCTCCCACTGTCTTCCCGCCGCCGTGGCATCCCGGGGAGGCCCAGGCGAAGAAGTGAAAGGGCAGGTGGAGGGGCTCGTTGTGGCTGAGACAGTCCCAGTGCCAGTGAATCAGATCTAGGGTATGGATGGTGCTGTGGGGAAAAGGAGTGTGAGGGAGAGAAAGATGAGGAGGAGGAGAGAAGCGGGAGGGACAAAATCAGAAAGAGGGGCTTCGAGGAGAGGCAGAAACAGGGACGTAGGCCACAGGCTTCAGATGCTGGAGTTGATCACAACCCTTTCACAACCGGAAAGATCCCCTCCCCTCAGCTCTTCACCTGCCCTTTGTCCTTAACACCCTCCCCCTACCCCAAAGACTCAGCTCAGAATGAGATAAAATAACTTACAATCTGTGGCAGCAGGAGCCATGAGCACACTCAAATTTTCCGGCCACAAGGAGTTGACCCCCACCCTCTCCTCCACAGTTTACCTGAGACTGAGGGAGTTTGAGGACTGGCTACTACTGGGAGCTTTGCCCCCAGAGCCCCTCTCTGAAGTCCTCTAGAGGGAGAGGCCCCCGCTCCACACCCTATAGCCTGTGCTCAGTGACACACGTACCCTTACACCCACACAGAGATGTCCACCTGCCCACATGTTCACACACACACTGCTGGTTGCGTCCCACCCTCATCTCCAGGTAGTTGTCTTTCATTCTTCAGCTCTTGCTTTGAGCGCCCGTAAGCACACAAACCTTCCCGACTTAACACACACCAGTTACGCTGATCACTAAAAAAAAAAACAATTTTGCTGTCAATTTCGACTCATGGTGACCCCATATGTATCAGAGTAGAGCTGTACTCCACAGGGGTTTCAATGGCTGGTTTTTCAGAAGTAGATCACCAGGCCTTTCTTCTAAGGCACCTCTGAGTGGACTTGACTTCCAACCTTTTGGTTAATAGCTGAGCGTGTTAACCATTGGCACCACCCAGGGGCTCCCTGAGAACCACACAGATCTCTTTTATCCTGAACATGCACACACACCTTCTACCCTAGACACATAGCTAAGCCCACTCTCTGCAAACACCCGAAACACAAACCCACACCTCACCCCAGACTCCGTGCCCAGAGCCTACTCCTGCAAAATTCAGTCGCAAGCCCCCAGACCCCTCAAGGTCCTTCCTTGCCTGCTGATGGGCCTGTGGGGTCCTCCTGCCCATGGACCTGTAGTTTGGAGCCTTGGTTGGCACTGGCCATGACCAGTGCCTAGCCGCAGGCCATCTATCCACAGCCCCCGGACGAGTACTGTCTCATGTGGGTAACCGCTGACCTGATCTCCTTCACCCTCATCGTCGGCATCTTCGTGTTTCAGAAGTGAGTAGGCTCTGGCCACCTTGTATGGCCTTCCTTACCCCCACCCCACAGCAGGCCCAGCTCCCCACCTGAGCCAGGTGAACCCAGCCCTGAACCCTGGGCCAGAGGACTGACCAAGCACCCTCATTCAGAGGAAAAGGAAGGACTCCCAATGGCCCCAGCCCACCCTCCCCAGCCAGCGGCCGGTGGCTTTTGGAATGAGCACCAGCTGGGAGCCCAGAGCCAGGCTCTGCTGGTTTGCTGTGTGGCCTTCAGTGAGTTCCACTCCTCTGGGCCTGCCTCCTCACCTGTTAGCCAGGGCGGCTTCCCCCAGTACTCGCCCATGCCATGCCACAAAGCTCGCAGCCCTCAGGACCACACCTGGGAAGGTGGTTGTGGTGGTGGGGGGTGTGGTTGGCCCAGGGGAGGGTGTAGGGCCAGATGGGCCCTCATCCAGCCATGAACCAAGGGGCCAAGGGGCTGGTGTTTTATTCTTGACTGACGTTCTCTCTCTGTCCCATACCACTCGGATCCGGCGCATGTCCCTCCTCTCTCTCCCCACCCACCCCCTCTCTCTGCTGCATTCTGGCATTCACAGCTATCACTTGATCAGGTAATTCTGGTGTGCTCCTCCTCCTCCTCCTCCTCCTTTTTCTCCCTTCTCCTTGCCATCCCTTCTCCACTTCTGTCTGGAAACCTGCCGGGCACCACACCCTGTGCCTGAGTCCCCAAGGGGTCCTCTTCCTGGACACCTCCCCTTGCCTGAAGCCCTCTCTCCCACCCCGTGGGTGCTGATCTGGCCTCTAGGCACCTGCGTGTCTCCCTCTGGGGTAGGGGGCTCTGCCTGGGCACCCCCTTCCGCAGAGCCTGGCACCCTCAGGGGCCTTCACTATCTTCCCAGCGCAGACCCTGCCAGACTCTTTCTCTCCATTGGCTTCTCCCTCTCTGGGGTTGTCACTCCCATCACCCACTCTCTCTGTTTATCTTTCTCTGTCTCTCCCATCTCTTTTGATGGATCTCTTTTTCATTTTCTGACTCCCATCCCCCACTTCCCTTCCACCTCCCTTTCCCAGTCTCTCCAATTCTGCCTCTCCCTGTAGGTTAGCACCCCTGTGCTCCCAGGGACCTGTGGGAATGACCTCAGTGGCTGAGCTGTCTGTCCTGGATGTGCCTGGCTGCAGAGGCCCTGGCCTGACACTTTCCTTCTGGGTGTTAACGTTCATTTCCAAGACAAGTCCTAGGTCTTAGGGATCCCTTAGTCAGATATCTTAGGCCCTCCGGCTTCACTGACCAGCTTTTTGGAAGAGAAACTGTACTTGCTGGTCATGGGGCTGAGCCAGTGAAGGGGCACTTCCCCAGCACTCGCTCCCCTGCTCACCCTGGCAGCAGACACTCACTGGTCCTGGCTCACACTGGTGCTGGGCCTGCAGCATGGAGCCCGACCTGCCCCCATGGAGCCCATGGTCTGATGGGGGAGGCAGACCTGGAAGGATTCCAGGTGCCATGACAGACATGCTGAGCACCAGTCAGGATACAGCTGGGGTGATGCCACTGTCTTCAGGGGGTCAGGAGATGCCTGATGGAGAAGGGTGCGCTGGGGGACAAGGCAGGGACAAGACTGCTTCCCTGTGGGCCTCATTCTTCCATTCATTCACTCAACACATACTTACCTGGCACCTGTGATGTGCGGGCATTGAGGTTGGTGCTAAGGACATGGCAGTAAATACAAGACCCAACCACTGCCCTGAAGGACTGGCGGGGCAGCCAGCACGGGCAAACTCAGGCTGCCTTCCCCTCTGCCTCTTGCTTTCCCCTTGTCTGTCTGCTGTTTAGCCATCTGTCTGTCTGTCCATCTGTCTGCCCATGTCTGCAGTGCTGACCCCCATCTAGAAACTCACAATCGATTCCTGGTGGAATCTTGGCTCCCTCTACCCACCCAAGCAGACTCAGTTCTCTGGAGGCTTAGATTCTTGTTTCTGAGCCGACCACCCTCTTCTCTTAGCGGGGGTCAGGGTGGGGGTCCAGTGAGTCCTTTTGTCTACATCCTAGGAAATATCTAAGACCAGGGGCCAGGGATTTTGGGCTCATTCAGAGGAATGACTACAGCAAAAACAGTCCCCTAGGCTGGGTGTGAAACCTGGGTCCTCCCCACTCTGCCTGCTCCCTGCATACCCTGTGCACCCCCACCTTGCCCCTGTGTCAGCCGTCAGAGGGACTGATGCTCCAACCTGTCCCTCCCCTTAGGAATATATGCCCCACTCTTCCTGGGTTGTTGGAAGAGAGGAGGAGATGGCCCCGCACTGAGGCATTCTAACACCCTTGCCTCATGAACCTGTGAAGATCAGTTCTGAGCAAAGCCCTCCACCTTGCGATCTCCCTTCACCTCCCTGCTTTCCTTCACTTCCTCTCTGGGGTTTCCCCTCTGGCTTCGTTCACCCTGGTCACGATGGTTGAGCTGGTTCAGCTGGGACTCCCTGAGGTTGGTGTGTACCCCAGGGCAGGTCATCAGAGTCATGTCTGCTAAGTTCCCCCCCTCCAAATTTCTCCCATCCAAAGAGAGCCAGGTGCATAACTGGGGGCACTGAAAACAGAACTAACCAACCCCATACCATCTTCCCAGGCAAGGGGTGCTGATTTAGGGTTCTGGAGGTAAGAGGGAGGCAAGAGGGCCCTGGCTGGGAATCAGTAGACTCCGATTCAAGCCCCAGCTCTACCCCTCTCTGGGCCTCAGTTTCCCCAACTGTACAATGGGATAAGTGTCCTGCTGGTCTCTCAGGCCAATTCCAGAGAGGCTCTGGAAGTTGGCAAGATCTCTGTTCCAGGGGAGGGGTAGGGAGGGACCTCATGCCCAAGGGACCATCTCTGCAGGTGGCGCCTGGGTGGCATACGGAGTTACAACCCTGAGCAGATCATGCTGAGCGCCGCGGTGCACCGGACCAGCCGGGACGTCAGCATCATGAAGGAGAAGCTCATCTTCTCAGGTGCACAGCCCCACAGACAGGCGGAGCCAGGCACTGGGCTTCATTCTTTGCACACACGTACACACACAGTCCCGCACATAGCACGTGCATATACCCACCCAAGCACACACTCACATATAGAAACCCACATCTCCACACGCACTCATCAGCTTCAGATCCTGTGGTCAGTGTCACCGCCATGGTTGGTGGGCAAGGGTGACGTGCATGAGCTGGGTGGTGGGAGGGATCTGTACTGAAGGCCCATCCCCCTTTAGCCTGCTTCATTCATGGGTTCCACAGACAATGATTTCACTCCTGCTTGTTGTTGGCATTGCCAGTCTGATGGAGGAGCCAGATACATAAACAAATACATGGAAAATTGGGTGCCACCAGAGCTCAATGGGGGTGCTGGGTCAGGGTGGGGTATAGAGGAGAAGGGAGTGGGCAGAATTCCCTGAGGCAAGGAGGGAGGTTTAGGGGTTCACTTTGCAAGGAGGTGATTGTTAGGTGCCATGCAGTCTACTTTTAGCACACAGTGACCCATGTGACAGAGTAGAACTGCCCTATAGAGTTTTTTAGGCTGTAATCTTTAAGGAAGTAGATCACCAGGTCTTTCTCCCATGGAGCCGGTGGGTGGGTTTGAACCACCAACCTTCTGGTTAGCAGCCAAGGACTTAACCGTTGTGCCACCAGAGTGCCTCACAAGGAGGTAACCTAGTTGAAACGTGGAAGATGAACAGGAAGTACCTGAGCTGTGGTTTTGAGGTGAAGGCTGGGCGAACAGAGGGAAGGGAGGGCATTCCAGACAGGAACAGCATGTGTTCAGAGGTGGTGAGGAAGAACTGCTTGCCTTGGCATCAAGAGCTAAGTATCATTCCACATGGCCTAAGGGGAGGCCTCTGGTTGGCTCACTCCCAGATGACATGGGGAGAGCTGGGCCTCGGGCCTCCTGATCAGGAGCTTGGACTTTATTATGAAAGCAGAGGAGGGTCATGGGCAGATTTTCCTTTGAGCACTTTTACAGCAGGCTGGAGGGTGGACTAGAGGGGGAAGCTGAAGGGAAACAAAACAAAACAATAATTCAGGTGAAAAGTGTGGCCATGGCGACAGAGAAGAGAGATTCCAGAGATTTAGGAGCCAGATGCACCTGGATCAAATCCCAGCTGCATCCCCGACTAGCTGTGTGAACCTGAGCACACTACCTAACCTCTCTCAGCATCAGACTTCTCATCTGTAAAATGGCTAACGCCCACATCACAGGGCACTTGTGAGGGCCAGCACCCTGCCTGGCCCAAAGTGGGTGCTTGGTAAACACTGGGTGAATGAACAAGGGTCCAGTTGGGGTGACACTGATTTTGAGCAGGGCTGGTTCCAAGGATTGTGTGAATGTCCACTCACTCATTCATCCTTTATTCATTCATTCAGCAGATATATGCCAGGCTGTAGGTGCTTAGGAGACACAGATTCTTACCCACTGAGGCACTTACATTCTTCCTACCCTACCTCAAAAATCCTTCTCCTGGACAGCTTCCTTGACCCCAGGCTGGGATGCAGCGCCTCCTTGGCTGTCCCACAGCCCTCTGAGTCTCTCTCTAATGTAGTTCTGGCCACACTGGGGAGCTCCTAGAAGGAGGGACCAGTCTATGGCATCTGGGTCCCCAGGTGCCTGCACCGTGCCTAACACAGAGAAGTCAGAACAGGCAGGTAAGATGAATGGAAGGCAGGAGGCCAGCCCCTAGGCCTAGGAGGTTCTGCCCATCCAGACCCCCTACCTCTCCTGGAAGTGCCAGGCCCAACGGTTCAACCACAGTCCTCACCCCCTCCCCACCCTAGGTTGGGAGGTCTTCTCCAGAGACCCTCAGCCCTACCAACTGGGTCCCCTCAGAGTAGGCTCAACCTGACTCAGCACACCTCTGCCAAGACTCTGCTGTGTGCCCAGTGCTGTGCAGGTGCTGGAGACACAGATGCGCAGACTCCACTCCTGCTCTAGAGGTGCTCCAGTCAGTGGGACCCACAGGCAGTGACTGTACAGAACATGGTCAGGGCTGGGCAAAGGGAGGCAAGGGTTGGGGGGTCCATGAGAAGGCCCCATCCTGGCTTGGGGATCTCAGGGGAGGCTTTCAGGAGGCTGAAATAACAGAGATGAGACGAATTTAAGATTTAGAATTTCAATTTTAAGAAAAGGAGGCATTGATGGGGACGTCACTTCCAGCAGAGAGGCTGGTATGTGCAGAGGCCCTGAGGAGAGTGAACACATGGTGCAAAGCTCAGGAGGGTGCACATGGTTTCCTGTGGCTGCAGGTGGAGCTTCAGGGAAGGGTGGACTGAGGAGAGGCCAGAGGGTTGAGCAGGGACCAAGGAGGGCCTTGAACACCAGGCTGCAACCCAGTGGCTCTGTTAGCCTCCAAGTGCCTGACTAGGAGTTGTTATAGCCCACCACCCCACCCCATCCTCTCTCCTCTCCCTGCTCACATTCTGCCTCCCTCTGGCCCGACAGAGATCAGCAATGGCATGGAGGTCTCCGATGAGCTCTCCGTATGTTCAGACAACAGTTATGACACTTATGCCAACAGCGCCAGCACCCCTGTGGCCCCCCGAGGGGGCAGAAGCCACACAAAGACCCTCACAGACAGGAGTGGGCATTAGCTGAAGACCTGCCTGTCCCAGTCTGTACATAAAGCAGAAACCGGAGGAGCCCGGGAAGGCCAGCAGAAGTGTGGTCTGGACTTGGAGTGCCCTGGGGGCTGGCTCCACAGCCTCCTCGTCAGCTCCAACCCCTGGTCAGCCATAGAATCTCTTGGAGGAGGCTCCCCTCATCTCTGAGGCCCAGCTGGGCCAGGACTCCAGCCTCTCAGATGCCCCTGCAGGCCAGGGGCTCCTGGAAGAGTGGGGCCCGGGGCCTGGTCCTCCTCCTGAGGCTGTCCCTGGCATCCTGACCTAGAAGCCTTGATGGGTCACTGGGCCATGCCACGCCCCCTCTGGCAACAGAGGATGTGGATGCCCAGGTGTGCCCACATGTGTCCGTGCTCCTGTCTGTACCATAAGGGTACCGACTTCTCCGTTTTTATCCTGCCTCGAGGGCTGGGGCTGGGCCTCTGCCTCCAGCCCCTCTGCTCTTCACATCACTCTCAAAGCACAAGGAGGTCCAGCCCAGGAGGAAAACCTGCTGCAGTGGTAGAGACACACCCCCTTCTCAGACCAGCCTCCCGCAGCACTGCTCCAGGAGAGGGCCTGAGCCATGTCCCCCAGGAGCAGCTGGAGACAGCCAGAAGAACAGGCTCCTGGCTGCTGGATCCCATGCCCAGTGTCCAACAGGCCCCCATAGGCACAGCGGCCCTGAAGCCCAGGGGACCCACAGACTGACATGATATCAGAATGTTCCATGACCACAGGGCAAGGCCACCTGGGAAAAGTGCTCTGGGCATGTCAAGGGCGGTGTGTGCCCAAGGAGGCCTGCAGTGGTGGGGCCTGAGAGGCTGTGGCCAGGAGGATTAAAGCTGCCACCCTGATGTGTGTCGTCTCTTTCTGAGGTGTCAACAGGAGGGTGGGACAGAGTATGCTGGGTTTGGGGTTCAGTCTGGCCCCAAGATGTGAGAAGGAGCCATTCTCAGAAATCAATGGGAGAATGGCAGGGAGATGCTGGTGGAACCCCTACCCTGCGTCAGTCATGGTGCCGGGGCTCTTTAACCACCCTGGGGTTGGGAGCCAGTAACCCCATACTGCGCTTGGTGAGATGGACTTGGAGAGGTAAAGTGACTGTCCAAGGCCACATGGCTTAGTCTCGCACAGCCAGAATCCCACCAGGCTCTGGCTCCAGACTGTGCGCACGACTTCCTTGGTCAGCCAGAAATTGTACAGGTAGATGGGGAGGGGTTCTGGGTCTGGGGTAGGGCTGGGGAGTGGGACTAGCAGGTCCCCTCAGGGCCACATGGAGGAATTCTGAGCTCCCCCCACCCCCCGGCCTATGGTAGGACAAGCCCTCGGCCAGGAGATGCCTCTTCCCCCAGGGCTGGGGTTTGGTATTGGCTTCTTTGGGCCTGACTGAGAAGGCCCATCCCATTCCCAGCACAGTGGGGGCACCTGGACTGAAAGCCAAAATACAGCCCTTGGTTCCACAGATATCCATTCCTGTCTTTGAGCCCTTGGGGCCTCTGTGCCCTCTGTCCTCCATGGGAAGGGGTCAGCGATAGTCTGGGCAGGTCTGGAACTCCAATCTTTATCGTAAGAGTCTGTGTGGTCTTTGGGGTGTCCTGAGGGAAAAGGGGGAGGCTGAACTCCAGCTCCAGCCTGTGTTAAGTAAACCTAGTCCTTCCTGGGAGCCAAAGGATGGGTTTCTCCTCCAAATAGGGGTCTTCTGGATAGTATTCTTGGGGTCTGAGAGATTCTGGCACCTTCTTAGAGGAAAAGAAAAGAGGCTCCTAAATTTTGGCACCCAGACTTGGCCACCTACATTAACCTCTAGGGCTACCCCTTAGCCCCTTAGGGAACTGTGAAGGAGCATTCTCCTATCCCCCTACCCAATTGAAATTCTGGCAAGCGCTTCCCCTTCTGGAGTAGAGGTCGGCTCCCACCTCTCCCTGAACACAAGGGAGTGTCAGTGGAATCCGGAACTGCTGGGTCAGGGTTGGAGGGCATTGCCCTATCCACAATACCCCAATAGTGTCTTCTCTAGTTTCTGGCAGACCCACCCAGGAAAGTGAATCGACCTTTTATGTCCACCCCTCCGTGTTAGGCCAGCCCCCGCTATCCCTGCTGGCACACTGGCCAGGGTGTTCCAGGTTTCTGGCTACACTTGGGCAACTTGAGTCATCCTGGAGTCTTCAGGAGGTGAGAGTGGAATGGGGGTGGTGGGGCTGGGAGTTGTGAGTGGAATAGCCAGTCAGCATCCTTCCATCACCAGGGCCCTGCATTGCACCATCTACCCCAGTCCACGACTGCCTCACCCCAAACAATGAACATCCAATGGAGGCCTCCCCCTGCCCTCTGCTGGACAGAAGGCCGGACCTGTCTCCATCCTTAGCTGAGTACTCAGCCTAGGGTCAAGCCTGGTTCCTCTCCCTTAACCTGAGGGGTTACTGTGAACTCCACCTTCCTGATGCCCTCCCCATCTCTTCCCCTTGTCTGCAGAGGGCAGCCTCACTGCCCACTTCACACAGAAACAGCAGACGGGTCCCCTCCACCTCTGCTGCCACCTGCAAACCCACTGGCACCTCACTCCTTCCTTCCTCCCTTTGGAACTCAGAGGGTGGGGTCTCATCCTCCAGGGTCGCTGCTTAGACCCTCAGCCCCTCTTTCCCAAGTACAGATAGAAAGGTGCTCAAATCCCTCACATCCTTTAACAGACAGCAAAACATCAAACACTTTGGCGGTGGAGGGGGTGGGGGTGAAGCCATTCCCTGGAGCAGGGTCCCTGGGACACAGTCTCCAGCCAGGCCTCAGTACATCACTCAGCCAGCATCACAGTGACCTGTCCCCCCATCATGGCCCTCCCACAAACTCGGCCTGCCTGAGCCTGGCCCGGGGTAGGGCCCTACAGCACCTGGCCCCAGTGAGGGTGACTCCATGCCTCACATCACTTTCACTCACAAACCCTCTCTTGAGTGTCACAGCAACCCAACAAGGTAAGCAAGGCAGGAATTGTGATTATCCCTCCTGAATGAGGGGCCTGGGGCCGAGGGGTGGGCAGTGATCTGCCCAGGGTCGCACAGCAACTTATGGCAGGACCAAGCCCAGGCCCAGGCCCCAGGTGCCGCATCAGAGCTCTTGTCAAGGCAACTCCCTCCTCAAATGGCTTCCATCTTCCATAAGGGCAAATCTCCTCACCCATCCCATAGAAGCCTGGCCCTACAGCACCCCTTAGAGGCAGCAAATGATCCAGTGCCAGCCTTTGGAAGCCAGGCTGTCCCAGAGCTGCACTGTTCTCCCCTCCACCCTGACCTGGCCCGCCCAGGACCACCACACCCTGCTCCACTGTGCACACTCCAAGGGGCATGCCTTGTTGAGGGGGCAGTGAAACCCCTGCAACTCATACCACACACCCACCGTCCACACAGACACTGATCCTTGTACACACACAGTCCACAAGACAGACACCTGTGATACAGTCCACACACAGACCCATCCCACACAGAAATAAACAATCACATACAGACACAGATACAACAAGACAGGGACACACAAGACACACAGCTAGACACACAAAGTCCCACAATTACGTATCTGCTGTGAAGCAGAAACAGACACGGAACAGAGTCCCACAGAAGCAGAAAGATGGAAACTTAGATCGATAAGCCACTGCAGTCAGATTCTTAGTCACTTCTGAGCCACACAGCCACACATCCACATACACCCCAACATTACACAGTCACTACGTTCCTTGCACTCCCACAGTGGAACACCTGCACCCTCAAACCACACGATTATGAAGTCTACACCGGGCAGGCACCCACCCCTACACACACCCTCACACGCCTGTGCGTATTCAGGGGCACAGCCAGCACCAGGTCACCCCCAATCCCAGTCACGCAATTAATTCCATGTTTACTCCAGCCCCCTCCCTTCTGGGGCTGATCCTTGAGGGGAACAAAAGCCCAGCGTCCCCTCTCCCCTCCCCCCACTTCTCTCGCCACTGGCGTCCAGCCCCTTTGTCCTTCCACAGCTGAGCCCGATCTGGAGTCCCGGCAGAGCGGCGGGGACATTGGAGCCGGGGCGCCAGAGGTACAGTTTGCGGTCACTAACCAGAGGGTCCTCAGTGCGCAAGCAGCAGCTACAGAACACCTGGGAGAGGGCGTGGCCAGGTAAGAATCAGGGACATCCGGGGCGGGGCGCACGGTGCTGGGCAGCCCCGGCGGCGTAGTATTCACAAACCTAAACAGGTTTTTGTGTGAGTGGGCGTGTATGTGTGAAAAAGAAAGAAATGGTTGTTCAAGACTTCTACGGGCTAGGGTGAGTCTGCGTTTCGACACTTACCTTGAGGTGCCTCTCCCCGTCCTCGACTCTCAGCCAGGATGGAAGAATGCCAGAGCGAGCCCTGCTCGGAGAATCCCTACCTTCCATGTTCCAACTGGGTGTCCATCAGCCCCTAGACTGGGAATCCCAGGGTAGAAACTCTGTCTCCGTGTGTGCACAGCACCCCGCGCAGTAGACAACCGTAGAATGAACGAAAAAGTGCCGGCACACGTCCCAGGAGGGGCTCAGCCTTCCTCCCTGGCAGCCCCTTGGCTCCTTGTGCTGTGGGACATCTCTGCAGGGAGAAGTCTCTCCTTACGCTGACGAGACACCTGCCCCCTTGGGTCTCAGTTCAGTGCGGCTGCCTTCTTGGCTGGCTGAGGACAATCAGGCAGGGTGCTGTGTGCCCTGCTGACCTGTCTCACCTCCCTCCCTGGTCCTAGGCTGCTCCTCAGGACAAGCCCCCAACCCCCTGGCATGTGTGACAGAGTGGCTGGGCATGTAGAGCCTGGAGCCAGATGGGGTCATGGCCCAGCCCGTGGGCAAAGTAGCTAACTTCCTCAGAGTCCTGCCCACTGGGGAGTTCATCTCCCTGCAATGCGAAGGCAGGGAACCCACTGACCAGCATGACCCGGGCATGAGCCCTGAAAGCCAGGCTGACGCTGAATAGGATCCAACCTCCAGGGCAGAGCAGCTGGGATCAGGTGGAGGGAGGAGAGGCAAGGGGCAGAGGACAGAGCTGCTGCGCTCCCCCAAGGGGCCACGTAAAGGAGCAAGCTCCTTGTCACTGGAGGTGTGCAAACACAGGCTGTATGTCCATAACAGCTAGATCTTAATCAGTCTAGGTACAGCCCTTCAGTTGGTAGAATGCTTTCACAAACACCCATCCTTTGACCTTCACAGCAAACCTCCGAAAGGCAGGCTCCCTCTGTGTGCTTGTTTCCTCAGGACAAACTTAAACAAAACAAAACCCAAAAAAAGGGTCTAAAAAAGCTTCTCAGAGTTGTGTGAGACTCAAATGAAATTAAATATATAAAAGCACCTAGCACACATGGTATGCTCCCTTCCTCTTGAATAAAAACAATGCAAAGAAATATTTATAGAATTTATACTATGTACCTAGCACTTTCCACACATTCCATTTAATAGTCACAGCAACCCTTTAAGGGAGGCTTTATGATCTCCATTGTATAGATGAGGAAACCGAAGCCTGGTGTGGGGAGGTGACCTGGCCCGGGTCACACAGTGAATCAGTGGTAGAGGCAGGATTAGAACCCAGGTCTGTCTTAGAGCTGAACTCTTTCTACTTCCTTGAGAACACCAAGAGGGCTCACATTAGAGAGAGGGACAAATTCCCCCTCACTCTGGGCTCTAACCTCAAGCCTTCCCTCCCTCTGGAACTTTGCACAGGCTGTTCTCTCTGCTGGAGACATTTTCCCTCCATTCCCTTCCCTTCACTTGGCTAATTCTACCCATCCCTCTAGTCTCAGTTTAAAGGTCCCCTCCTCAGGGACCCCCTTCCTGATATCCCTCTGAACTGGGTTTAGTGCCCCTTCCATAAGCAACCCTAATACTCTGTACTTTCCCCATGGGAGCCCAGCCCAGCTGTGAGCTCCAAGAGGGCAGGGACTATGACTGTCTTGCTCACTGCCTGGCACAGAGAAAGTCCTCAATAAATACTTGTTTCATACATTCACTCAACTTTGAACAAGTATTAACTGAGCAACTACTATAGGCCAGATCCCCTGCTGTTAGGGGAGAGGATGCGTATTAAATGGAATGAACCATAGAGAGCCGCTCCAAGGAGGTACAGCAAAGGCTTCCATTTGCCCCTTCAGATTCACTCTCTACTCTCCTCCCCTTTGCTTTGTGGAGGAGGAGCAGGTTGAACTGCACTGATAGGCTCCCTTGCTGTCTAGCTTTCCCTTGGGTTTGGCCAATGGGAAACACCAGCAGGAAACCCAGCAGGAGGCAGGATGAGGGTAGGAGAGCTAGGTAGTTATTATTCCCTCACTCCCCACTGGGTCTCTGTGGGGTTACCTGAATCCCTTGACCAAAGGCTACAGGTCCTGTCAGATGGCCTTCCCTATATAGGAATTTTGTCCAGGTTCCAGTAGCCTCTCCTGCTCACTCCTTCAGACCTTGGGGGCCTGTAAAAACCGCCTGGGAGCAGTGTCTGACTTCTTCCAACTTCACAAGAGGATTGGAGAATCAAGACCAACAGCCCAAGGCTGACTTCTATGAGACAAAGGTCGGACAAGCCTCCTCTCTCTGCCATCTTTACCAATTCTGACACCAACCATCCCTCTCAAAGCACTCTCTTCTTCTCTGCTGGGTTCGATAATTCATTACAATGCCCACATACAACTCACAGACAGTACTCAACAATTATGGGGTTTATGAGGGAAGTAACAGCTACAGTTCACACTCAGGATACAGTTCTTCCATCAGGATAGCCTCTCCCCAGACGTGCTCGAAGGCACACCTGTCCCTGCCCCTAGGCTTCTGCCCAAAGGCACTCAGCTTTTTCTCTCTGTGGGCTAGGAAGCCCACCACGCCATCTCCTGCTGCCGGGTCTCACTGCCTTCAGTGTTACAACTCTCTCTTTGACTCCTAGTTCTAAGAGCTTCTCAGTGCAGGGATCCCAGGTCCAAAGGACGTGCTGGTTCCTGGCTGTTCTTCCTTGGTGGTAGTGAGATCGTCTCTTTCCCTTCTCTGGGTTGGCTCATTTCAAGCCCATCGGTTTGGCAAAACTGACCAATACCCTTGGTGGGCTACAATTACCCTATCTGCACAGTCCTGCCCAATCACCTGGGTGGGAGTTACAAGACCATGGGGAGAAAGGCCACACAAAAGCAATCCATTACTAAGGCCCCCTGTGGCTAGCGGTACTGCTCTGTTCCTTGATAGTCTCTGAACACTGCCTACACTTTTGTAAATCGTTCCTTTCTTTGACTCTCCTCAAATTACCCTCTTTGAGTGCGAGCCATCTGTTTCCTGCCCATAAGGATAGACAAAACTTAGCAAGTCTGAAGAACAGAAAGAGCAGTATGGCTTAAGTGGATTAGCAAGGGAGAGAGTGGTACAGTTGAGAAGGGAGGGGCTAGTCCTTTAGGTAGGCCGGGGCTAGATCACTGTGGATGGAAAGATTAGTTGAAGGAGTGAAAACACCCAGGTATGCGTGTATGCATGCATGAATGAGTAAATGAGTGGACAAACCAAGGAATGAATGAATGAGGTGTGTGGTGAGCTAGGCCTCCTGTCCCCTCACCGGGTACCAACCAGGTGGACTTCCCGACGCTATTTGTGTTCTCTACCTGGCAGGATGCTGGAAGCCGCCAAGCAGGAGGAGTCGGAGCCGGACTCTGAGGCGCCATGCGCAGGGACTTGCCACGCGCAGCGCGTCCTGCAGACCCTCAACGCGTACCGGCGGAGCGGCACCCTCACCGACGTGGTGCTGCGCGCTGGCGGCTGCGACTTCCCGTGCCATCGTGCCGCACTCAGCGCGGGAAGCGCCTACTTCCGCAGCTTGTTCGCTGCCGGGCGGCCAGAGCGCTGCCCCGCCGTGGTGCCGGTGGTGCCGGAGGGGCCGGGTGCGGGGCTTGCCCGGGCATCAACGGCCGCGGCGATGGCCGTGGTGCTCGACTACGTGTACGGCGCGGGCGTGCGGCTGTGCGCCGAGGACCAGGCGGCCGCAGTGCTGGCGCTGGCCGAGCGGCTGGGCGTGGCAGGTCTGCGCGAGGCCTGCGCCCACTACCTCGAGGGCCGCCTGCGCGCCGCCAACAGTCTGGCGCTGCGCCGCGTGGCCGCCGCCTTTTCCCTCGCCTCGCTGGCCGAGCGCTGCGCTAGCGTGCTGCGCCAGGCCTTCGCCGAGGTGGCGCACCATGCCGACTTCCTGGAGCTGGCCCCCGACGAGGTGGCAGCGTTGCTGGCAGACCCGGCGCTGGGAGTGACCCGCGAGGAGGCTGTGTTCGAGGCGGCCATGCGCTGGGTGCGCCACGACGCGCCCGCCCGCCGGGGACAGCTGCGGCGCCTACTGGAGCACGTGCGCCTGCCGCTGTTGGCGCCTGCCTACTTCCTGGAGAAGGTGGAGGCCGACGAGCTGCTGCAGGCGTGCGGCGAGTGCCGCCCACTGCTGCTCGAGGCCCGCGCCTGCTTTATCCTGGGCCGCGAGGTCGGCGCGCTGAGGACCCGGCCGCGGAGGTACCGCCTGCCACCCCCTTGCCTCCCGCCCTCCCTTATTCCCGCCTTCTTCAGCCGCTCATTCTTTCATCATCCCCTCATTCAACCACGCAGTCGTGCCTCTTGAATGAGACTCAGTCCTTCATTCAACAAACTCTTCATAGGCTTAGGCTGGAATTCTGCCCTTGAAGAATTAACAATCAAATGGAGGAGATACAGGGGTCCCAAACCTTGCTCATCCACTCACTCACTCATTCACCTATTCATTCCATAATACAGAGTGTTTATTTTGTGCCAGGTCCCATACTGAGTGCCCGGGACTGGAGAGTGATTTGGAAACACTCTGCTCTCTGGGAGATGACAAAAGGATATAAATAAGCAAGTGCCGGGGGGAAAAACAATGAAGTGACCTACTCCCACCCCTGGAATGCCAGACCAGGAGACTGGGTGGAGTAGTCCAAAACCAGCTATCTATCCTTAGGAATAGAAAGCGGGGACCCCTCTCACTTAACACTCTGTGTCCAACATTAAGTGCAGGGCCTGGTACAAAGATGCTCAGTATCTTTTGAATGACTTAGGAAACAAGTGGCCAATGGATTTGGAAGTTACGGTGGGGTCAGAAGCCTCCCGGATCAGTGGGAGGGAAAAAAGTTTAGATGGAAGGGTCAGTGGCCTGATTCAGTGGAATTAGTGATTAAGGGTTGGGTTTAGGAGATTGTTAAAGGGGAGGGGCAGTCAGGGTTGGAGGTCAGAAAAGAGTAAGGGAGAGAAGGGGTTAGAATCAGACAAATACGGGCTTGAACCCGGCTCTGTCACTTACTGGCTGCATGATTTAGGGCAAGCCAAAGTCCTGTGAACCTCAGCTTTCTCCTCTGTAAAAGGGTAATCCCTACCTAATAGAACTGACATAAGGGTTATAGGATCAGTATGAGTCGGAATTGACTCGAGGGCAATTTTTTTTTTAGGGTTAAAGGAGGTGATTTTTCTAGGTAAAGCTTAGGGCTCTGTAAAGATTATTTTTCCATAATTTAGTGGTCAGTAGGATGGGGTGAGGATTAGTGACCTGTTCCCATCAATAGCCAAAGGGAAGGCTGGAAGTGACAGAGTCCAGCAGGAGGATCTGCAGAAGGGCATGAAAGGGTAGCAGGACCATACAGTGTGGTCAAGGAGAGGGCCAAGAGGGGGTGAAACTTCGGTGTGGGTCAACGGGCATTGTTGGGCTTATCCCCACCCCAGATTCATGGACCTAGCAGAAGTGATCGTGGTCATCGGCGGCTGTGACCGCAAGGGGCTTCTGAAGCTGCCCTTTGCCGATGCCTACCACCCAGAGAGTCGGCGCTGGACCCCATTGCCCAGCCTGCCCAGCTACACTCGCTCAGAGTTCGCCGCCTGCGCCCTCCGCAACGACGTCTACGTCTCCGGTGAGGGTGGGGCCCGGAGCAGGAGTTACACGGGATTGGCTCATCGGCTCCCAGCACGCCAATAAATGTAGGGTATCAGGAAAAATGCCACCCCGTTTCAAGGGAAGAATGTGTGTGCTAGCCTTGGAAACTGCATTTGATGTTGTAGTGGGGTATGGAGTGCCAGGGAGCAGGAGAATGAGCCTGGGAGGCCTCAGAGGTCATCCAGGCCACACATCACCGCTGAACAACTTATCCAAGGCCACTGATGGCCTCTGAATGGCATGGGGTTGGGGGAGGGCTCTTTTGGGCACCATTGAAAATACAGAGTCAGGGGCTATACACAGATGTGGCTTGGGTCATGGACTCAGGCCGAGGAGTGCAGTCATGGGTTATTGTTTGGGCCAGCTGCTTCTGAGAGGTGAGCCCTGGTCAGGAACCCTAGGGTGGCCAGGCACAGGGAAGGATAGTCCACAGCCTGGCCCTACAGGTGGGTTGGGTCCTTCACCAGTGTTGGGCTTGGGGGACAGAAGCTCTGGTTCTGGTCCTTACTCTTGTAGGCCATGTGCTCTTCAGCAAGCCATTCCTGGCCTCTAAGCCTCCTCTGAGTTTCCTGCCTATAAACCGAGTATAATAATCCTGACATTTTATGGGGGAATGAGAACAGAAATGAAATCAAGAATGTAAAGGCGGAAGTGAGGGGGGATTATCAGCTCACCCTCTATCTCTCCCCCCTTCAAATTCAGGTGGCTCTGCTTTCCCTCTGACCCCAGTACACTCCTGACTCTTGTCTTACGCACCCATTGCACTCTTTCCTTTAGTAGGGTTGTAAGTACCCACGTCTTTGCCTCCCTGAGCACAGAGCCTGGCACACCACCACCAGTTACCCAGTGAAGATCAGTTCCTTCTTCCTGAATCCATCAGGGCTCTCCCCTCAAGAGCCCCTGCCGATTGTCCTAACCTAGACCTTTCCACCACTCATTCAAAGTACACTCTGGCTCAGAGTCACATTGGCCCAGGGGGATGTCCTTCCTGCTGTCTACCCTTAACCCTTCCTCTGGATCCTGGGGCCCATGTCTCTAGCTGTTTGGGGGGGCTGAGGCTAGCAAGAGGGCGTGGGGGGCAAAGCTGTCTTTCTTTCCCTAGGAGGCCACATCAACAGCCGTGATGTGTGGATGTTTAGCTCCCATCTGCACACCTGGATCAAGGTGGCCTCGCTGCACAAGGGCAGGTGGAGGCACAAGATGGCAGTCATTCAAGGCCAGGTAGGGACATTGCAGCTGCTGCCCTGGGGCCCAAGGCACAGAGCTATGGATGCCCTGGGGGAAGGCCCTTTAGTATCCCCACTTTGTAAGAAGGGATCTGAGGCCCAAAAAAGGAAAGGGACTTGTCCAAGATCGCATAATCTAATACCACTACTACTAATGATAATGATAGCAATTACTGTAATAATACAGCCTCGTGGTCAGGGGTGTGAGCTTTGAGGGCAAACAGCCTGAGTTTGAATCTTGACTGCCACTTAAGAAAGAAAAAAAAAATTACCAATTATTTCTGCAAGCAACATCTGGAATTCAGAAATCCAAATGAAAGTGCTTCTTAGAATTGGTTAAGTGAGGTGCCAAACCATTAATAAACGACTAGCTATTATCATAAAACATAAGGAGTCATGGTGGCACAGTGGTTAAAGTGCTAGACTGCTAACTGAAAGTTCCGGGATTGGAACCCACAAGCGGCTCTGTGGGAGAAAGATGTGCCAGTCTGCTTCGGTAAAGATTTACAGCCTTGAAAACCCTATGGGGCAGTTCTACTTTGTTCTATAGGGTCCCTATGAGTCGAAATCCACTCGACAGCAACGGGTTTGGTTTTTGGTATTATTAAACATCAACTTGGTGCCAGGTATTTTACCGATCAAATCCGCATTCAGTACCCATCCTACCAGACAGGTATCATTATCTCCCGCTCAGGGAGGTTCAGTAACTTGGTGGAGATTGCCCAGGTGGCGGCAGCGCTAGGATCGGCCATCAGTCTCTTTGGCCCCTAAGGTGGGGTGGGGGTAGTTTTTCCGAATACAGTCCATGGTGGTGGGGCCGAAACTCAGACAAGCCCTGACTCCCGACGCCTGCACCGTTTGTCCTCTCCCGCAGCTGTTCGTGGTGGGCGGCTTTGACGGCCTGCGGCGCCTGCGCAGCGTGGAGCGCTACGACCCCTTCTCCAACACCTGGGCGGCCGCCGCGCCCCTCCCGGAGGCGGTGAGCTCGGCAGCTGTGGCGCCCTGCGCAGGCCAGCTCTACGTGATTGGGGGCGCGGGCCAAGACAGCGTCAACACTGACAAGGTGGGGAGTCCCCGGGGCAGGAGGAGAGGGCTCTGTAGGCCGCAGGAAATCAGCAGTGCCTACTGCCTGCCAGGCGCAGAGCTGGCACTTCTATGTCCTTGTCCATTTTCTCACTAAATCTCGTCAAGAGCCCAGAGGATTTACCCCCACTTTTCAGGCAAGGAAGTGAGTTTAGAGCGATGACTCTAAGGTCACACAGCGGTCAGCAGCACAGCTGGACTCCAGTGCTTGGGCTGGTGCCATATGGGTCTCATAGATTTTAAAAATTAAGTGAGGGCAGGGGTGGGATTAGTTAAAGTGTTTTTCCTCCATTCAACAAACAATACACTCATTATTGAAAGTTTAGAAAATAGAGAAAAATAGAAAAAAAATTACCCATAATCCTACCACTTAAAGATAACTATTCATATTTTGGTGTGTTGTCTTCCAGGCTTCCTCTAAATTCATTTTTGCTTTTCTGCTTTATATTTACAGATTTGTGTTCTTACTGTTAGTGAAATTTTGCATTCTGCTTTTTATTCTTCACATTTGAGTATGAGCATTTTCCACATGCTTAGAAACTTCATAGCCATCATTTCAGTGTCTGTGTAATGTTCCACTGGCAGATAAACTAGTCTATAATCTAATTCTCCATTGTCGGACATTTAAACTTCTCAAAAATAGAAATCAATCTTTGCAGTGGTAGCTCCCTCCCTCTCCTGATGGCCTCACAGGACTGTGGTCCTGGGACCTGGATTTTTCCCGAACCAGGATTCCTTACCCCGCCTTTCCTACTCCCTGACTCCGTTCCTTCAGCAGATCTTCCTGGAGCCGGGTGGGGGAAGCAGCCAGATGACCCACCCCATTGATACTGTTCCATGCAGCACTGGTTATAGGCTGTTGGGGGTCTTCAAGGAAACAGTTGAGGAAACAGGATGGACAAGTGAGCAGGCAGCTAGGACCAGGTGTGAGCCCTAGGAAATTGCGAAGGGCATCAGGGGCCTGGGAGGCCTGTGGACAGCGTGGTAGGAGTGCAGGGAAACCTTGGCTGGAGGCTTTGTCATGATCAAAGAGCACCAGGAAGAGAGAAGAGGGCTGACCATTTATGAAGCCAGAGAGGCAACTCCATGGGGAGCCTCCTCTGAGGACACTTGATAGCACTGATGCAGACGGCTCTTCCATCCCCTGGGACAAACACCTCTCCAAGCTTGGTATCATGTGCTCATATGGTTCATCTTATATGAGGCAGACTGTTTTCTCCACGAAAGGAGAGACTGTTCGTGAGGGGGGAGCCAGGGAAGGCTTTAAGGAGGCAGTGACATCTCTGCTAGACCTTGAAAGATGAGGAGGCTTTTGACAAAGGGAGTCCAGGAGCAGGGGATAGAACGAGGAACTAGGCTGAGAGCTCTGGAGGGTAGGAACGGTGGGTCCCCTTCACTCTCCCAGACACTAGCTCAGGCCTGGCTCAGGCAAATTTGAAGAATGAGCGCCCCTAGCGGCGAGAGGTGGGAGGGTATGTGCAGTAGGGTAGGTTGGAGGATGAAGTTTCACACCTCGGTTGCTCCCCCAACCCCTCAGGTGCAGTGCTTTGACCCCAAGGAGGACCGGTGGAGCCTGCGGTCACCAGCCCCCTTCTCGCAGCGATGTCTTGAGGCAGTCTCCCTCGAGGACATCATCTATGTGGTGGGGGGCCTCATGAGAAAAATCTTCACCTATGACCCTGGCACAGATGTCTGGGGGGAGGCAGCTGTCCTCCCCAACCCTGTGGTAAGTGGGGGCTCCTGGTCATGGTCCCGGGCACTGGTTCCATGCAGGAGAGTGAAAGCACACTTCTAAGGGTCTGGATCTCAGAGGTAGTAAGGCTTGTGTCTGACTCCACGCTAGGCGGTTTTACATAGTTCTCTAGTTTTGTCCTCGTGGCGATTACCAAGCTTGCATTTGTTTCACAAATGAGGAGACTGGCCTTAGAAGGGTTGAGGGCCTGGTCCAAGGTCACCAGTCAGTCCAGTTAGGGGAGAACCTGGAACCTAGTCCCAAGTGCTATAGCCTTGGGTATGGGGTTTGGGCTAAATGACCCTGAAGTCTCTCTCTCTGCCCTGAAGGCCACTAGCTGGTGGATCATTGTTGGGGGTAGGCCAGGAAAAGGACTAGCTGAGTTTCCCTGTTCCAGTGATGTCAGAGAGGGAAGGTCCAGGCCTGGAAGCTCTGCCCCCTGCAGCTCTCTGCCTCCCCGCCCTTTCTGTCTCCTTCCCCTGAAACTCGAAAGACGCTATTACAGGGGTATGGTGGATTGGAAGTCCCTGCCAATTCTGACCTTCGGTGATCCTAAGATGGTGGTGGTGATTATTATTATTGTTGTTATTGGATAGCTGTTAAGGGAACACTATGGAGAAGGTACTGCTATTCTTCCCATTTTTCAGAATAGGACACTGAGGCCTGAAGAGGCTAAATGAGTTGTCTAAAGCCATTCACTTAGTAAGAGGTCAAGCCAGAGCTTGAACTCAGGTCCATCCACTTTCTTGCCTCTTTGCCATCCAGACTGCTTGCTCATATTCTGTGGGTGAAGGTTCTGTTATCTGGCTTGGTTAGCTAGGGACAGAGAGGGCCCCAGGCTGGACTCCATGGCTGATTATCTGTCTGTCCATCAGGAGAGCTGCGGCATGACTGTGTGTGACGGGAAGATCCATATCCTTGGCGGGCGGGATGATCGCGGGGATAGCACCGATAGGGTCTTCACCTTTGACCCCAGCAGCGGGCAGGTGGAGGCCCAGCCATCCCTGCAGCGCTGCACCAGCTCCCACGGCTGTGTCACCATCGTCCAGAGCCTGGGCAGGTGACTCAGACCTGGATGGCCTCAGCCAGGAGGCTGAGAGTAGGGAGGACACAGGTGTGCCACTCTGCTCCTCTCATGGTCCCTCCATGTAAATAGCCCTTAACTTATGGCCTCCTTTTCTTATAGAAATAAAACCTCATTCAAAGGTCGGGTCAGTGTTCCAGCTTGAGCTTGCTTTGCCTGGAGAAGTAATCTCCAGTATCTGTTCCCTGCTTTTACCCTTTACAAAGCACTTTATACATTACTTCCTTTACCTTCACAACAGCGGTATGGGCATTTTAAAAAATCATGAAATTTTCATGTGTTCAAAGGGTTCATATATTTTTGTACAATTTAATAATAATAATAAAATAAATATCGAACAGAAGACTAAACAGACATATGCATAGGCTCATAAATCAGCAAACACGTCTAAGGACCAGGAATGAAAGAACTGCAAAACATAAGGAAAGAAGCCTAAGCTCTGGGGTTCAGACTGTATAAGGTAACCAGCCAGTTGCCATCAAGTCGATTCTGACTCTTGGTGACTCCATGTTTGCAGAGTAGAACTGCACTTCATAGGATTTCCAAGGCTGTGACCCGCTTTGGAAGCAGATCGCTAGCGCTTTCTTCTGAGGTGCCTCTGGATGGACTCGAACTGCCCACCTTTGCAGTTAGCAGCTGAGCACTTAACCATTTGTGCCACTCTGGCTTTTATAAGGTAAAGGGATTGGAAATAGGTTCCAAACCAGGCTCACTGCTATAAGCTCGGGCCAGAGTAGGACTCCACTCATGTAAGAGGCTGAAACAAAACAGAACAAATACAGCTGTGAAGCCTGAGCAGCCATGGGGCTGAGGCTTGCAGCAGGCTTAGCATGCGGGTGCCAGAGCCACAGGCCTTTGAGAACCCAGCCACTAGGCTCAGGCCTGGGGCCCCAGGGCCAGCAACATAAAACTGTGGAAAGGAGGGGTGAGCTCAGAGGAGGAGAGCACGAACAAAAGACACCAGAACAGCTTCTGTGAGGCTGAGGCCCAGTAGTTCAGGTTCTGTGCCTGTGGCTCTGAGGTTTTAGGAGCCTACCAGACCCCATCTGCAGGCTCCCCCTCATTTGCACTCAGATTGCCTTTTAAAGAGGAGCTATCAGCTGCTCCTCACATCTCCCTTTAGCACCGGGTGAGCCCCATGCCCCTCTCCATCATCCAAAGCCCCAGGGCCTTATCTGTGGGGTCTTTCCAGCTGGGGCTGGCCCATCACAGCCTAGCACAAAGGCTCCTGTCCCAGCTGAGCTCCGGCCTGACGATTATCCCAGATTAAGGGACTGTGACCATCTGGATGAAGCTGATAATGGCAGAAGGAAGAGGGGAGTGGGCAGAACCCCAGCCTCTCTGGGCCTGCCTGCCCCCACCCCCCACTGGTAACACCCAGGACAAAGCAAAGGTGCTACTGTTGCTTGCCTACCCAGGCAAAAGCCCGACAGGAAAAGGTGGGGGTGAATCCAGGGCAAGCTGTCCCTGAGGAAATGGGCATTTCATCTGGGCTGGGCACTTCCTGTAAGCCAAGCAGAGTGCCCCATCTCCTGCAGCGCTCCCCTCCTGCCACCGTATCCCCACGCTGAGCCCCGTGCTGACCGTCGTTCCCCCATGCACTCGTGCTTCCATGTGTGGATGCCATTTCCTGCTTTGTCTGCCTGGGCCAAAGTGACACCCTCCACCCCCAGAGGCAACCACTCTCTTCTCTGCTGCCCCTCTTCCATCACCTGCCATATGGCCAGGCCTTTATATGTGACTCCTCTAGTCTCCCCTAACACGCCCATAGGATGCCCTTTGAGGCAGGAAAGTTGTCTGCTACATCTCAGTGTCCCCCAGTGCTCTGCACAAGGCTTCCCACTGAATACACTGAGAAAAGTGTCCTGGATTTCTACCTCCTAATACCTGTGAGGTAGGTACTATTGCCCCACTTTACAAATAAAGACACAGAGACTCAGAGCTAAGAAGTGACTTGCCCAAGGTCACGAGTGGTCCACCTGTCTCCAAAGCTTGCTCTCTCCCTGCTGCCTCACCCAGGCTCTGCTAATCTGATAAAGCTAACCTTGTCCACCATAGGAAATCCCATCCTGATGTGGTGAGATTGTCCCTGCTGTTAGGGGCCTCCAATGATGAGGGGAGACATGGCTTATGTCCCTGATGAGTGAAGATACAAGAACACAAGCAAAAGGTGACACCACATGTGTTCTAATCTCCTAGGACAACCGATTGGCTAGACTGAGAGAGCATGTATGGTCTCCCTGGCTCCTATTCCACTGCACTTTTGACAACAGGCTGCCTCCTGAATGAGGCATGGGGTGGGGGTGGGGGGCTGTCACCATCCAGTGGGAAAGCAGACCGCAAGTCCTGAGCACTGACCCCTGAGCCACCTAGGAATGCCATCCTCTTCCCCCTGAAGACTTATCTCTTGGCATACCATCAGGATCCATGAGACCCAAATTTAGTTTGAGTTTCTTTTTTGAGCAGTTCTAACTATTTGTAAGGATTAACATTTTGTTTGACAATTGCTCTTTCTTGGAAACCCTGGTGGCATAGTGGTTAAAACCTATGGCTGCTAACCAAAAGGTTGACTGTTCGAATCCATCAGGGTAGGTGCTCCTTGGAAACCCTTTGGGGCAGTTCTACTCTGTCCTGTAAGGTTGCTGTAAGTCAGACTTGACTTGATGGCAGTGGGTATGTTTGGTTTGTTATTGCTCTTTCTTAGTGGTCTCCCAAAAAATGAGAAAATGTACTTATTCTTTTAAAATATAATAAAATCATTCTATTTTGCAGTCACCATATGGATCTACTGTATCGTTTTATAAATCTAAGATACATTATGGGATCTTGATGATCTTATTTTTCCTATATTTTAAAATACTTTGCTATTTCATTATCCTAAAAGCTATTTCATATATTTCATCAATTATTCCAAACTATGCAAAACAAGACTAAAACAATGGAATAATGGAGTTGCGCGGAAGGAAGATGGAATAGTGCAGAGTGAACCATATATTTCTAAAGACAAAAAGGAAATGTAGTATTTCCATCTAGCTGTCATTCAATAGGAAGAATTTTATCACACATTTTGCGACAAGAACCTGGACCATCCTGTTTCGCTAACAGATGGTGTGACAGTATTTTTTCATGATGCCTGTGCACCAAAATTTACTTGAGATAGTTTGTAAATGAAGACATGCTAACAGCAGATGTGTATACAAAGGTGATTAGAAGAAAATAGATGATGCAGAAATGGAAATAATTCATTAGATTGGTCATTCTAGTTGGTGTTTATAAATCTAAAATTGAAAATGTTTTACAATTATGGAGCAAAGAAAATGGCCATCCTCTCTAACAAAATTATAAGCCATCAAAGTTTTCAAAAGTATTGTTTTCACAGTGCAAGTACAAACAAAAACAATTTTTTAAAAATCAAATAAGCAGAAGATAAGCTAGAACCTATTACAGATGTATTTGAAATCTTGTTAAAATTTATAATAAAATGGCTCTTCGCTATCCTTTATTCTTACTTCTGTAAGTTATTTGTAAAATGACTTAAAAAATATAAGGAGGGTGCCCATCAGACCCGGATGCTAAGTGGTGGTGACTATTTTTCCTGGTATATTGAGAGTAAAACCAGTGGGCAAAAGATCCACCTCCTCTCACTCCTCTGGCCCCCTCATCCTGCAGGAAAGTCGTCTTACTGCTGTGCTGAAGCTCTCCCTTCCTCTCTCTTAAAAAAAAAAAAGATCCTTAATTAAAGGCCAAGGGAGTCCTAACCTCCTTCTAGGCAATTTAGGACTCAAGAGGGTCCAGCTCCTCTGGTTCACTGCACAAAGGGCTGCAGGGCACAGGCTAGTGGAGGGAGGGGGCTCAAAGGCCTGCCAAGCAGGCTGAGATAAATCTCTCACAATGGTACTTAGCTCAGTGAACCAAGAGACCCCACTACATGTTACACACTAGTGTAACACAGCACTGAGCAGAAGAGTGATTTCATTTGAATCTCAGAGCTACTGCGGCTCTATCTTCTTATTTGTAAAAATAAGAGTTTGGGATAAGTAGCTCCCAACCTAGGCATGTTACTTGTTCTCAAATCAGAAGGTGGGGTTCCTTAATATGTTCTAAATTTTTTTTTAAAGCCTAAAAGAAATTACACATTCCCCCAAGATGTACCACATGGGATAATTAAAATCCCTGTAAAATGGAGTTAGTAATAGAATTTGCACATTCAGGGACGTTGGCAGAAGGCTCAGGGCATAGGACTATTATTTTGCTAACTTTTCACCATGGTTAAATTGCTTATCAAACTATAAATGTATCTTTGATCAATAACAAATTGGGAAATGATTTGTTTGGTAGATAAAATATCAAAACTTGATGTCCCTGTCAGGAATAGGAGGATACGGAATGTGTAGCTAACTGGCTCCATGAACATCTGCCTCCTTTCCATGAGACCAGAAGAACTAAATGGTGCCTGGCTACAATTATTGAACATTTAAATCAAAGACTCTGTAGAAGCATCCTGATCAAAAAGGAGAAAATGCAGAACAGAATTTCAAATTTTCATGGATTCCAGACTTTCTGGAGCCATGGAAGCTGGATAAACTTCTGAAACTATTGCCCTGAGATAATCTTTAACCCTTAAACCAAAAATATACCCTGAAGTCTGAAAATCAAGTAACAGTTTAGCTTAACTAGTAAAGAACATCTGCCTTGAGCATTGTGCTCTTGAGGGGCAACATCTCAGAAAAGGAAGGTAACAATGGTTGCACAACTCGAAGAATGTGATCGATGTCACTGAATTGTACGTACAGATAATGTTGAATTGGTATTTTTGTGTATACTGTCAACAACAAATAAATGTTAAAAACAAAAAAAACTCATCAAGTCCCTGATGAAGAAAATGTAAGAGAAACAAGTGGAGGTTCATAAGCCCACATTCTGTCTGGGGACAGACCCACAAAACACCCCTGCACATGCTGCCCTCTGAGCCCCACCTGTTTCCGTGCCTTTCCAGGTTCTCCATACTGATGGTGCTGTTTGATCTCCGATCCCTCTGGGCCTGCTCCCAAGTTCTCACACTTCCAGCACGGGAAAGCTGGTCCAGTCAAACGGCTCCCAGCTTCTCTTTGATACCCCTTATCAAGCACCAGGCGCCATGAATCCTGATGACCTGACAGTAACATTTTAGTG